CCTGCAGAGTGTGCCGCCCAAGGAAAAAGGAGCAAATCTAGATACTTATGTAAATTTTGTTTGGTCCCTCTTCACAGAGGAAAATGTTTTACGCAGTACCATACGTTAAAAAAGTACTAGGAACTTTCATTGTTTAATTGTTTCTGTAAATGAAAATGTTATAATTATTGAAAAACAACACCTAAAGTGCATTATGATGATTTAAATAACGTGCAGTTTGCCCAGAAACGTGCGGTCCCTGGCGCATGTCTTAGAGATTTCTATGCGGCACGCAACGTGTTAAGTTGAGAATACAGCTGTCACTGAAGATTAGGAATAATCCTTGAGCAAGAAGAATGCAAAGCCTGTGTTTTGAGAGTATAAGAGCCTAAGTGGACGTAAGCTGTGTATACTCTGTGGGAGGCGGGGGGTGGGGGGGCTTTGCCAGCAGCTCAAGGCAGGAAAAGAAATCGGGTCTAAACCAAAGAATTGGAACGACACACCTGCATTTAAGTTTTGAACTGGCCCCCGACCAGGGACTGAGTTCTAGGACAAGGGACTGAGTTATGAGGAACAGGCCAGAGTTCAGGGGAATTAAAAAGTGGTCAGGTGAAAGGAGGCTCCAAGGCGTGCAGAGAGTAAGCTTAAAAAACAAAAGTAAGAAAATAAGTTAAGCTTAAAAAGCAAAAGTAAGATAAGAAGGCCAAAAAACAAAAACAAGGCAGGGAGCCGAAGTGTGTCTTTTCTCAATCCTTTCACCCCCCCACTCAGGATCACCAGGGCCTGAGTTTTGGCCGTAAGAAGTGGCGTCGTAACAGGACTGCGTTCGGGGTAATTAAAAAGTGGTCAGGTGAAAGGAGGCTCCAAGGTGCGCAGAGAGTAAGCTTAAAAAGCAAAAGTAAGAAGGCCAAAAAACAAAATGAGGTAGGGAGCCGAAGTGTGGTAACATTAGCTCGGTGAAAAACTTGGGGAATTCAGGATCCCAGGAAGGGGATCACTAAAAGTAAGGCTGAAAGCAGAAAGGAAGGAAGGGAGCGAGGTTTGGTAATAGCTCGGTGTAAAACATGGGGCAGTGCTTAATTGAAGCATTTTTAAATTTCTTAAGGAGAGAATAAGTAAAAAATAGACAAGAAATAAGGTAGAAAAGCATAAAAAGAAGTGGATCCCTAAAAACAAAGGAAAATGGTAGAAATAAGCAGTAGAAATAAGAAATCTCTTAGGTTTTGTTAAGCTAGAGATAGGGAAGGTAGAAATAAGCGGTAGAAATAAGTAGAAATAAGTGGTAGAAAATAAGCGGTAGAAAATAAGTAATTAGGAGGTACAAAATAAGGTAGAAATCTCCTAGCTTTTCTTTAAGCCACTGTAAAGCAGAAGATGGCTGTGGTGGATGGTTAAGGAAGTAATTTTTGTTTTAGACCGAGATTGTAAGCTCTTGCGGCAGCTGCATTGTTTCTAGGCTTTGGTTATCTTTGTGCGACCTGATCGCTCCCTGGGACTCTGGGTCTGTGTGAGATGCCAGACCCGGAGTGGGAAGTCTCCAGCTCTGCAGGACCCAGGGCTGCTCGTTCCCATGCAGCAGCGGCTAAAGAAA